TGGGCAGGTCATGTAGCGCGAAAGGGGGAGACGAGGAATACGTATAGGATATTGGTGGGAAAGGCAGAAGGAAAACGACCACAGGGAAGACCAAGGCGTAGGTGGGTTGACAATATTAGAATGGAACTTAGAGAGAGAGAGAGGGGGGGGGAGGTTGGGATGGTATGGATTGGATAGATCTGGCTCAGGATAGGGACCAGTGGAGGGCTCTTGTGAACACGGTAATGAACCTTCGGGTTCCATAAAATGCTGGGAAATTCTTGAGTAGCAGCAGAATTGGCGGCTCCTCCAGAAAGGCTCAGCTCCATGAGTAAGTAATGAAGTCATAGAAGGGAGAGTAAATTAAAATATACATTAGGGAAATAATATGAAGGTGGGGAATTTAGATTCCAGTACTTCAGGATAGGGTAAAATATCTAGCTTTTGTGAAGACGGTCATGAATCTTTGGATTCCATGTCAGTAAGGAATGAACAGTCGTCGAGAAAACCACAGCAACATCGAGCAAATCTCTCATAACTTCTTCTCATTCTGATAAGCTGTTTACGAATATTATTCTGCTTCATTTTTGTAAGCGACCAGTCAGTGCCATGAGCTGGATCTCGGCCTATTGGCCATAAAAATTCCCTTAGTTATGCATGACATAAGGATATCACGTGCACAAGAAGTGAGATTTATCATCTGCCTTGTCTCGTGTTAGAAGCTGACAGTGAATAATGCATTGTTAAGTGAATAAAGTGTAATTGAAGGGGGGGCTAGTAGTTTAGGTGTTATATTCAAGAGCAGGGCTTCGTGTTTCGGACCTGCCGAATCCAGTGCTAATTGTTCACGATCATTCTATCTTCTCTAACACAGCGAGATATACCAGGCCCCTATCTGCTGGCAGTTAACAATCTCACGACAACCCTTTAACGCACGAATTTCTTCTAAGTAGTTTGCGTCCCCAATATACACAGACAAACTGAAAAATTTAAATGAGAAAACTGGTCTCTGTTAACTCTGAGAGTCATAGAGAACACAGAAACACACCCTGTGGGCGAAATGCAGCTTCTCATGTATTTCATTGTACGTAGTAAATATGGGAGCTTTTTATGATGGTAAAAATATCGATTTTGAAGGACTTGCACATTTGAGTTGGTGGGCTCGTATAACGATTGGCTACGGGCTGAATGACTGAGGGATCAGAATTCGAGTCCCGGTAGGGTCAAGAAATTTTTCTTCTCCATGTCGTCCAGACCGGCTCTGGTGTTCATCCAACTTCCTATCCAATGGGTACCGGGGGCTATTTCCCCGTGGGTAAAACGGCCGGAGCGTGAAGCTAACGACTCACCTCCAGCTAGTGCCGAGGTCAAGAAAATGTGGATTTATACATCCACTCCCCCATGCGATGGCGTAGTGTTTAATTAGTTAATACAGGGACAATTTTACCTTTTAAATTTACCTTTACGTTCCGAGTTTTGTAAGCAAAAATATTGTTTGTGGGATGCCGTCTTGTCTCTATGCGCGATTGTATGGACGTGAGCCTCGTTAGCGCTGGAACGATTTAATGGATTTTATTAATTTTCGTTATTCAAGAGTTTATTGACATTAAGGCGGTCCTTGGTGGCTATGAATATTCCAGCTTTAAATACAGAGGCTCTTCAGACAAGCACAAATATGCGAAGTGGCAATTTTCTCGAAAGTGACTCCGGAGATTAATAAATTTTAAATATTTATGGAGGCCATCTCTCTAAATAACACTGCGTAGGTGGTATGTTCACTGAAATAACGGAATGCGCGCTAGATGCACATAGGCCAAATGCAGATTTTGTCGAAACCGACTTGATGGCACATGGATTTCGTTGTTTGGTATTCAGGAACCAAGAATAGTCGAGCGAGGCACAGTCGTTTTCGTAAGCAAGGGTAATTGTATATGTGCAATGGCTTGAGGCCGATTTCTTAATAGTATACCATGTGGCACAAATAACAGTCACTGTGCTTGCAGATCCATCTGGCCGCTATCAATTGCCTCCTCACTGTCTTCCTACCGGCAATAAAGGGATGCACATTTCGCCTCATGGGTTCTCCTTTCTGCGCCCACAGATAATCATGATGATCATGACAGAAACCGTAAGCATGGCGGACAGCAGGATGATGACTCCGCTCCTTGCATTCAGAAGATGACGGGTTTGAACTTCAGAAGAATTCCCGACTCAGCTTATTATTTTCCGCAGTCTTTCGAGTCGAATTTCGGTTTAATGGGTACGGGAGGGGCTCTTCCCCCAGGGTTAAAACGCGCAGGGGTTTGAAGCTGACCACTCGCCGCCATCTAGTACCGAGGTAAAAAAAGGTGGAGCTATATCTCCACTCCCCTACATGTCTTCATGGTATAGTTTTTAATTAGTTAAGCACAGGGAAATTTTTACTTTCTTCTCCTTACTTACCTTTATCCTTTGCCAACCTCCTTCGACCCTATACGCCTTCTGTCAGCAAAAATAAGGGTGGGGGATTGTTAAAGACAGTGGGTCATAAAAATTGTAACCTCAGTAACGCAATGTTTACTTTTCTATAACAATATGCAGAACAAAAAAAATAAACGTTGTTCTAGACATGATATTGAAACATTGTGTTCACTTTGGTATAGTCCTCTTCGTTAAAGTTGCCGTTTTCGAAAGGTTTTATTAATTAAAATTCAATGTGAACTTGATGTTTCTTCCATCCGATTATAATCCACCGCGCCTCCTCGATATAGGGACCCTAACGATATTAGATGTACATTATGAAGCTTCTATTTATATAAATATCTAATTCTGTTTGTTTATCCGTCACAACACAACTCTAAAAATCTCGTTCACGTTAACTGTATACATAACAGGTTTGATATCGGTGGTGGCTTGTTCGTGTTTCGGCTTATGAGAAGCCATCCTCAAGTAGATATACGCTAGGGTATGTGTGTAGTGTATTAGTGTACATCTCTCTGATGATGGCTTTTCATAAGTCGAAAAATGTAGCAAGATTCAACTGAAATCAACAAACTCGTTAAGTAAAACGTAAAGCTATCCCTGTACCAGGCCGTGAAGGCCCGTAGGGTTGTGAGACGCTGAGGGTCCCACATTGTCTAGACAATCGGCCCAAAGATGGCGGTAAGGTTGTCAGTCACGTTTTACTCCCCAGGAAAATTATTTAATTAATTCCTGTTACTTATTTCTATTAAGAGGCTGATAGAGACCCCAGGGTCATAGTGCGGCTGGAAAGATTAGGTCAATTAGTTAATGTGAACGAGATTTTGAGAGTTATGTTGTGAGGGATAAACAAACAAAATTAATGTAAACACAACAGGATGCATTCTTTGAAGATATAAAATATATAACGTTCTCCGACCATAATTTTTGTCGCGCGTACCACCCTACATGTGTCAGTAAGTTCAAAAATAAAAACAACTCTATGCGAGAAGTAGAAACAAAAGTTCATTTTTGTAACATCCTGGATTTATCACTTACCTCTGTTGGGACAAACTTTATCTTCAATGCTGAAATGAAATATAGCCTACTTACCATATTGTGGAAGTAGTGCATGTTGCCAGCTTCGTATCTCAGCATTGCTGAAATATATTGCAAAATGCTGTGATCTTGCAATTATTGCCTCTTCGGAAAATATCAACCGTCCTGTTGTTATTTAAAACCAGGTCCCGGACAATGGACTCCACCTCCGTCCTCGGGCAAAGAACTGGGATTCCCCTTCAACTCAACCACTTCGTCCGCAGCGTGTATTTATGTCGTTCCGGTTCGTGTTCTTTCTGCACAATGATGTTAACTTATAAAAATTAATTTCCTTTGATGAAATTATTTTAGCAATAAGTTTATTCAAGTACTGGCTGATTTCCAACTTTTGTGTGCGTTGCCATTTGCCCAACGTAATTATGAGACTTTTTGTGCAACAATTCATATGGTCGCAATTTATAAGTTTCCTTTCTGGCCTATTTTTCTTCTTTGAAAAAATAAATGAAGGCTTATGAGATCACATTGCTGTCTGTATATTTCCATAATTTTGGTTATTAGGCTTAGGAGGAGACTGCCTCCAAGTATGGAGGGTAGCACCCAATATATTAAGCAGTCGCGGTCGGTAATCAAGGGGTGGTCCTGCAGCTTGAGGATTGGGCGTGGGGTTAACGACTCCTCACCGTAAAAAATAAGCTTGTTATGAAATGTCCAAAGGGGCCTTCTCGTCTGCTGCCAAAAAACGTAAAAATTAGAATATACAGAACTATAATTTTGCCTGTGGTTCTGTATGGGTATGAAACTTGGTCTCTGACATTACAAGGGAACACAGACTGAGGGTGTTTGAGAACAGGGTGCTAAGGAGAACATTTGGAGCGAAGAGAGATGACATGACGGGTCGGAGAAAACTGCATTGTGAGGATATTAATAAATTGTACTCTTCGCCAAGCTCAATTAGAATATCAAGTCAAGGAAATGAAATGGGCAGGGTATGGGAAGGATGAGAAATGGATACAGGGCTCTGGTGGGAAAGACAGAAGCAAGACTTAGACGTAGGTCGGTAGACAATATTAAGATGAATCTTAGAGGGATAGGATGAGTTGGTATGGACTGGATTGATCTGGCTCAGGATATAGACCAGTGCAGGGCTCGTGTGAATACAGTAAAGAACCTTAGGGTTCCATAAATGTTGGGAAGTTCTTGAGTAGATGCACAATTGGCGGCTTCTCGAGAAGGGCTCAGCTCTATGAAGTTAGGATTATGCGATCACCTTGCTGTCTGTGTACCTGTGTGTTCCTCCAAATTGCTTCGTTTCCTACGCGGTCCGTCTCGTATCGAAGGAAAGTGGGCTATTAGTTCTTTATAGAATTTCTTCCTCCTTTATTATTAAGTCCATATAATAAATGTTTCTTAGACTGATTAAGACTCTTTTTTCACAACCTTGCAGGAACATAAATTGACCGCTTCCTACTCAGGATCTCTTCACTTGATTGGTATGAGCTGTAATGAAATCATTACTGTTTCAGATGTGGAGATTGTTTTTACGTGTGATGCTAATTGGAGTCATTTGCGCTTGTGCACTGCCTGAAAATCCAAGCTTCATAAAGTCCGTAAGGAAGAGGGACACGTCACAGAGATACTGCGGTAAAAACCTTGTCAATATTCTCAGGTTTCTCTGCAGAAGCCAATACAATGGCATAGAGGAGGAGCGAAAGAGGAGCGAAGAAACCAGCCAGAGGAAGGTAGCACGAGGTACAGTACATTGTACTAGCTCGAATCTTAAGCTAGTTTCCTTTTTCCTCTCAAATACTGCTTCTTAGGAAAAAATGTCGCCTTATTTTCGAGTCCTTAAGAATAATTATAAAGTAGATGATAAAAAATCGAATTGTTAATTCCAGTGATTGTAAAGGGTTCTGACAGGACTACTGAGCTATTGGACGTTATGCTCGGTATTCCAAAATTATGAAGAAAACAATGTTTGGCACATTGGGTCTGTTTCCGTCCTCAGGTGAAGGGGCGGGAGACACATAATCTATTGGTTCCGTTAGAAAGAGCTAATCCAAATCAGTGGCCCGGAATATTAGAATACCGTAAGACGGACAAAAAAGAACTCAGGAATCCAGAATAATTCCTGTGACATTTGTAAACTAATGTAGGATTATATTTAAGATGTTAAATTTTGAAAGTATTATTTTTTGAATAGCATAGTTTTTACTTCTTTTTTGCTTAAATCGTCAGAACGAAACGATACATTCAATGGTTAACTTTAATTGCTTACTTTAAAATATTATCCTGGCCTTCGCCTGTGTGTACTAAGGGAATCCGCTGAGAGCCACGTTGCACCGGAATATTACATTTCGTCTGTCAGAACACTGGAAGGATAACACAAGGGGTATCAGTTCGACTCCTGGTATTGTCTTAACACTGTATTTATATTCCCCACGGAATATAACTTCCTTTAGGTTATAGTCCGCGTGTACACTACATCTGTCCGTCCTTCACACGCAACAAACCATTGTTTTTTTCACTAGTTGAAATTTCTTGTTAATCACATTGTATGCAAAATGGTTTAGAGCAATTCTAGTCCACGAACCATACAGAGAGCAGAAGAATAGAAAGAAATGTTGAAACCCCAAGAAATTGTTAAAATAACCAACAGCATTCGCAAGATCTTAACCAATTATGGAACCCAGTTTTGTGATGCCAAATATTACTTTAATATTAAGCCAATTATTAGCTGTAATGTTACATAATTTGTATTCTTAAATTAGTATTTCGTTCTATGGAAAGGAATTTCGCAATTCAATGACAGTGTGTCGGCTTGTTTTAAAGACGAAACCAGCGCATATCGCGTGTAGATTACTGTCATTGCTTAATTAAGCAAATAAACTACTTTATTTGTATTCCCCCCACTGGTTCGTTACAGACGCCAGTATGACGTAATATTAATCTATTTCGTAATATTAGGAACGAACAATGCGTCACTACAGGTTCATAACCTACTACTAACCAGTTTCCTTAAAACTAAAACGGATATCTAATTGTTAACAGAAGCTATATATTTTTGATGCCGAAACGTCGTTAAATGACCTAGGAAGAAGAACAGTCTCTTTGGCAATAATGTATAACAGTTGGTGAATGCGCGGAACAGATTCGTACTTGATTTATCATTTCATTTTCTTGCGCAAACTGTAGGCTGTACTGTGATGTAATACACCTTATTTCCTAATAGTCTTTCCTAATAGGCGCTCTCTCAAATGAATAGGTAATTATCACTAAACGGAACGATAGTTGTGAATGATTGATAAAGGAAGTTGTAAATGGCATCTGTTGTAGTCCGTCTTTAGTACACTACCTGGAATGATGAACACAATTATTGTGGCATGTAGACCCGTTGCTAGGCAACGACTGAGAAATAAATAGACAACGGCCGTTACTGTAAAACGACCTGTAAACAGAAACGGAGGAACGGCGATTTCTGTGTAGTCCGTGCCGAGATATTACGAGGACGGTTAGTGAGAGGTCACTTAGTGGTGTTAATTAGTTAATGAAGCGTTGATTGGTGAGCTAATGAGTTAGATAATCCTGGGGTTCAGTTTTTGTTTGAAATGTTTCTGTAAGAAGATGGTAGCTGAAGCCGGGGACAGTTCGGGAACCCAGACGAAGGAGAATATCTGCCGTTGGATGCCGCTTCCAAGCAACGGTTGGTTGAGCCTGAAAGTTTGCGAACACTGTTCTGTGTGTGACAGTGATTTGCAAAGCTTAGTCACTAGCTGCGTGTGTAAAGTGTCCAATAAATCCGATCATGAATCCAAACCCCGTCTACAATAGCTCTATCACGCCACGGTATTAAAATCGCTAACCCCATAGGCTGTCGCAATTCGTAAGATCCAAAATACGAAGCACGATTGCCTAATGAATGAATAAATGTATGAGGTGTACGCCTCCTCGGCCCTTGCACAGCGACCTACAGTGATCTATTGCGCTTCCCCTTTTGATTATCCCCTCAGCAATCCTGCCCTTCAAATGAAGCGTAGGATTTTGTAGGTGGGCGCGTCGAAGTAGTCACTTGGTTCCATAAAGTATTGACCCAAGTGACGTAATCTTAAATAAGCTAGGGCCTCATATTCACACAGGATATGTGTGGCTGTTTCATTTCCTTCTTGACACCTGTCACAAGTGGGACTACCACTTAGTCCCAGTTTGAAGAGGTGTCCTTTAAGGTGACAGTGTCCTGTAAGTAGTCCCACCACCCATCGTAGCTGGTTTCTGTTTAACTTCAACAGTTCCTTCGTTCTTTTAGCAGAGGGTTCTCTTATGAGTCCCTTTGCTTGCCTGAGCTCAGTCAAGGATCTCCAGACAATTGCCTAACACTCGACCATGCATTAAGGGCTTGCCAAACGTATCGACAAATTCACAACCCCATCACACTTAAAAACATGTTCGGCCTTCTTTCCTCTCTTGGGGATCCGTGATAACAGTCGGTAGAGCGATGGTCTGCAGGCTGAGCAGACTCTATGGGCCACCCTAGACTCCCTTGGAGTAAAGCGGCCAGGGTATGAAGCTGGCCACTCACTTGAATCTATTGCCGAGGTCAAGAAAAATTCAATTCAATTCTTTATTATTAATGTGCCGAGTCAACAGCCGCAAGGCCAATTACAGACACAGCACAGTGCAGATGAATGAATTACATTATAGACAAACTTATTAAAAGTCAAATACAAATTACATGTAAGTACTTGGAAGAAATAATAATGAATAAAAGTAAACAAACAAATAACTGATAATTATAACGGTAATAATATTTTCATTATCATTAAACTAAGTGTTATTACGAATTGAGGAATGAAACATAAATATTTAATTAAGAAATGAATAGTATAGATTTTCAGAGGATAATAATAATATATGTAATTAATTTTGCTTTAATGGACATGCAAATAATAAAAATACTAACAGTTATACTATATTTAAAATTTGTTTGGGTAGAACATTCCTATCTCCGAATACGTCAACATCCCTGCAGACAGCATTAGCAATGGAGCTATGCATAAGTTTCCATTGCGTAATGCTTAATTAGGGACAAAGACAACTTTACCTTTTACTTTGCTTTCTTGAGGGAGGAATGCAGGATTACGAGTTCACCATGCTGCGTTTGTGGGTGCATCGTGCCCTTCAAACTTCAAAGCTAGATGACACAATTCACGAACCTCTCTATGAAGGTTATCCATCCCAGGGTCGTACATTTAGATGCCCAAGAATAATAATTAGTGACAACAATATAAGGTCGAAAACACTGATGACGTCCAATTTAATGCCTGAAATAATGGTAAAAGATTTCTCGTAAAGTCTTAAAGTTTTGCTGAATTTTTCTTTGCCCCCCCCCCTTAATTTATAACATGATCCTGCGAAATGCGCCTTGGCCTTTTGGTTCGATTGCGACAGACAATGGACCCCATTGGCTCCAAGCAAGTGAAATATGGTATCGATGTGTCATAATCATTACTACACATTATCATAATACGGCGCGATGGTTTGGAGGCTGGGCTGAAGAAAGGAAATTTTGCTATGAGCTATCACTGCATCATTCTCCGCCTAGTCTGATGAGCCTGCAACGCTGATAAAAGTGGCTAATCTCTTGGTATCCACGTGCGACTCATGTCGAATGTATAAGACATGGATACAATTATACTAAATCATCGGGGGTCTTGTATGAATCGTAAGTGAAATAAAACTCCGTATGAATACTTGGTGTTTATTAACAGCCTTCGTAGTTTCAGTGACTGTGTTACTATTGTCATACTGTCAACGTTTCGCTCGCTGGTCTCACTATCTATACATGTTCCGGTCTTATTATAAGGCCATCATCGGTTTAAAAAAAAGTAAAGCTATCCATGTAACAGGCCGTGAAGGCCCATAGGGTTGTGAGACGTCAAGGCTCCCACATTTTCTAGACATTCAGCTCTCAGATGGCGGTCAGGTTGTCAGCTTTACGCGCCGGCCGCCCTTTACCCCCAGGAAGATCCCCGGTACTCATTTCTGTTGGAGGCTGAGTCGACCTCAAGGCCATAATGCGGCTTGAAGGATTAGGTCACTTTAAAAATGCAGTGACCTCATCGGGAAGCGGAACCGCGACCTTCCGGATTGTAGCATAGTGCCTCAACAAACTACTCCAATGCGTGCCCCAAGGCCATCGTCAGTTATAATCTTATATTGTAAATAAATGTGTTTAGGCTTTACAAGGCCACCGTCACGTATTTCTTATGTTGTAAGTAAACAGCAGTTACGAGTATATTAGTAAGACTGTAAATAAACACCAAGTGAAAAACAGACGCGAAACAATAATAAAATATATCACCGTTCGGAAGGATCAGAAGAAATTCAGTATGAAGTTTCTCGGGAGTTTGAATACCACACAGAAACACTAATCAGGATCTTGTAAATAAAGGGGGAACAACTTGCGAGTTAATAGACAAGAAACAAGACGTCATTGTCTAGTATTAACAGAAAGAAAGATGGGTAAAAACTGAATTAGGCTTGAAATTTTGCCTTAAACGCCCCTTGAAACGCTTTGCACAATAAATGGAGAGTTTCCATCGAGAGAACTGCCACAAAATAACTGAAAATGTAACCTTACATTTTCAGCCGTGTAACTCGGTAATTTCTGAGACTGATATCAAAAAATTCGCCGTCGTAAAGTTGACTCTTTTAGGAAAATCTTAGCTGTATTTATGTAAATCGACATGAAAATGCGCGCAACAGATGCTGGAACTTACAAAATCCACATATTGTTCACGTAGCTCCATGTGTTCTGAGTGCAATTAGGATAGTGCGATCTAAGTTCATTCATTAATTTATTCATCAATGGCTCTACAACCCTTTTTTGGGCCCTGGTCTCTTCGTCAGTTCCATAATCCTTCTTACACACCCGGTATGAATCCTTTGACGGGGGATCAGTCCGTCGCAAGGCCGCTACCGAAACACACGACAACACAAACGCAGAATAAAAGCACATACAGATATCGATGCCTTGAGTTGGATTCGAAACCACGGTCCTAGCGTTCGAGCGAACGAAGACAGTTCATGCCTTAGACCGCGCGGCCACTGTGGTCTGCATTGTGATCTAAGTAGATAGAACTAATTCTAATGATATGTTAGTGAAGTAGTGCAGGCGGACCAGTAACCTTGTGGCTCCAGTAGTCCCTACACCTGGCGCTGTAGGAAAATCGGCAACCCACAGCCGAGAACGCATGGCGAGAATACTGTACCGGCACACCAGTCAAAATATCCTCAAAGTTTATAAATTATTGTTTGTAAGTTAGTAATTTCAAAACATGCCAGACCTATGTGAAACCTTAAAATAAGTTTAACGCTGACACATTCTGGGGTTAATAAGTCTTTCATAAAATAATATAACATATCTGTAAGACCAGAAATTTATGTAATAGGAAGATAGATATTTGAGTTTTGTTACAAATATAATGTTATCATTTACAGAGCTTGAAATGAAGTATATTTATGTTGTTTTCAGATCTTGAATACGTTCAGTGGTCTCGGCCGAAACCCGTGGAAGAACCGGAAATACGGTTCCCCTTCCGGTCTCGCGCGGCAGCCAATACGTTCCGAAGACAGAAACGAAACGATGGCGGTATTGTTGACGAATGCTGTATATATAAAGGCTGTACTGTCAATGAACTGACAGACTATTGTTCATCACGGCGGTAGTTAACTTGGGCAACAATAACTGTCAATAACATTACATTAATAAAAGTATGGTTGTCCAATTCCGCATCTGTATGAATCACTTACGATTAATATTGAGAGTTTTTAAGTTAAGCTATTTGGAATCGAGTATTAAGCAAGTGTTAAAATTATGACATTGGACAGATTCTTTAATGGAAGATGGACAGAGCATTTTATGGTCCTTCGGACATTCCTTTTAAGATAACAATAATAAAATAATGTTACTTATTTCATATATTCTGCTTGAAGAGCATTCAAGGTGTGGTTGTAAATATCATTTAATTACAATAAATGTATTAAAACACTTCAATATTGCCTTTTATTATGAAACCTTTCCAAGTTAATTTGTGATTGGTTTAATTCAAAGTTAACAAAAAGTTAAAATCTAGAAGTCAGTCTGTATTTTTTTCCCCATGGCACTACAGCCCCAGTGGGCCTAGGCCTACCTCCATGAACTTCTCCGTTCACTTCGGTTTTTCTAGATCTTACACATTCGGTAGGACTCCTTGGGCGAGTGATCAGCTCGTCGCAAGGCCCCTACCTGTAGACAAACACAGAAAAACGCACACAAACATCCATGCCCTGAGTGGGATTCGAACCCACGATCCCGGCTTCCGAGCGAGCGAAGACACTGCATGCCTTAGACCGCTCGGCTACCGTGACCGGCCAATCTGTATTTAGAAAATGTAATTTATATTAAATATCTAACTGATATGTAAAAGGTAAAGCTATCCCTGTAACGGGTCGTGAAGGCCCACAGTGTTCTGGAGCGTCGAGACTCGCATTTTCTAGACAATCGGCACACAGCGGTGAGGTTGTCGGCCTTACACCGGCCACCATTTACCCCCCAGGAAAGCTCATGATAATTAATTTCTGTTGGCGGCTGAGTCGACCCCCATGGCCATAGGGCGGCTGGAATTATTACATAAATTGGAAAAAAAAATCAGTGGCATCGGGAATCGAATCCGCGACCTTCAGACTTGTAGCATAGTGTCTCAACCAACTACGCTTCCGCCTGTCCCCATGACAGTAATTGTTTAAAATTGAATTCACGATGAGTTTATGAGCATAAAAAATTCGGAGAATGTTTGCTACCACTACGTTACGAAATATGCCAAAGTACGAGTTGGTATAGTGACTAGACCAAGAACTGGATGACCGAAGAATAAGTTTCCGGTTCTCATCTGGAGTAATACGTTTTTCTCTCCTTCGCAGCGTGCAGACTAGCTCTGAGGCTAACCACGCGCCTATTTTATGTAGTTTCCTGCCTCAAGGCGTCCGTAACGTGAAGCAGACTACTCACCCCTCTCTAATGCAGAGTTTAAATAATTGGAGCTATACCTCAAGACGTGTTGCTTAGTCAAAGCTTTCGGACGTTACTCCGTCTCTCATCCTAAAGGAAGATTATAAATTGAAAAGTTTTAAGAGCAGCTTGCTGAGAGCGTTATTTCGATCCACTGTCTGTCTGAAACATCACTGAAATTACGTCACATCTTCTATGAGCAACCGTAGAAAAGAAAATCCCTGTTTTAAACGAGATATCTGGTATAGCGACTGAGCCTCCCATCCCATGTTGAAGCTAGAATATCGTAACAATCTAATATTGTCACAAAAAAAAACGTAGCTTTAGTCCTCAAGCGAACTATAGCGACCGAGTGACCGACGCTTGTCTGCGAAGTTAGTGCCAGCATTAGTGATTAGATGGTATCGCGTAGTCAGTGCAACGGATTCCCACGGCCGTTAATTTCGGTTTTCTAGACCGGATCCGCTATTGCCTTGAAATAGCTCCTCAATTATCCTCATGATGCTGAGTGAACCCCGTTCCAGACCCCCTTACTTCTTGGAAAATCTGGTAGCGCCGGGAATCGAACCCGGAACTTCTGGATCTGTAGCCAGGAACTCTGACCACTAGACTGCAGGTGATACAATGACATAATGATTCTGAAAGATGATTCGGGCACAGTGTAAGGGAGAATAGAAATAAGAGGCTGGAGAAAATTGTTTAACGAGGATATTCATAATTGCTATTCTTTAACAAATCCTTCCTTCTTTTCCTTCTCTCAGCACTACAGCTCAGGGTGAGCTTTGTCCTCCTGAACAATCTGTCTCCCTTCTTCTCTGTTTTTCATCCATTCATCCGAGGCTGATTGTCTGGTTTCGGAACAATTTGGTTTTTACGGTGTGAGGTTGTTAGCCTCACGTCCAACCCCCAACCTGGAGGACCAGGGTATCCCTCTTCGTCTGGCTTCAACCCCTTAACTTGTCCGGCGTGGGTGACCCTACCAGTCGCTACGCTACCGCCGGCATAGCTTTCAGGATCTCGGAAGCACCCTAACCCCACCACCACGATAAGGTGGAGACACCATCGGTGGGGATTCTTCAACAAATAGACAATCAAATAACGGAGGATGAGATGGGCGGACAATGTAGCATGCATGGAAAGAAGAGGAACGGATACGCAATTTATTTCAAAGGACTGAATGTAAGATCTCACTTGGAAGATTTGAGTACAAATGCGAAAATGGTATTTGAAAGAATCACAAGGAAGTTTTGTACATGTACGGCTGTGATGTGGGAGTGTACGTGTGAGCCGGATGCGGGTGGCTCAGGATAAGTTCCCGCGTCGCGCTTTTGTGAACGCGGCAATGAGCCTTAGGAGTCCACAAAAGGCGAGTAATTCCTTGACAACTTGGCGACCCTTAGCTGTTGAAGAAAAGAGGATTTTGCTGTACAGCGCTAGTTAATTATTGTTGAATGGTCTCTGTTTGTATACAAAATTTTTCAGCGTATGATGAAAAATGTGCAGAAGGGATACGTGACCTTGACAGGAAAATGTATTACGGTCACATATAATTCGAAATTTATAGAAGACCTGAAATTTTCTACCCAGGAAAGATTTTGAAATTTTGACATATTTTCGTAAACATATACTTGCGGTCTCTTCCCACGGCCATCTCTTGTTCCCTTCCTTCGCTGACAACCATGGAAGAATTTAGGGAGGGACTGTTCCCCCATGTTTTCCCCATTACGTTGTGGGAATATAGCTGGGGACGGACGCGTGGGAGAAGAGGGAGCACCAGAGACGCCACACGTCGAGACGTTTAAACGTTTATTCTTGAATGATTATCATAGTTTCATGATAAGCATCCAGGTGTGAAACCCTCAGGTTTCTTTCCCCCCGGAATAAACAGGCCGAACTCTATATAAGGAAAAGGCATCCCGGAGGCCCTCAACAGTGCTTGCAGGGTGTAGTTTCAAAGAGCTTGTTTGGAGGAAAGGTAAGAGCTAGCAAGAAGAGCCAGAGAGAGTATTATTTATATATGCATAATGTATTAAAATATCTGCCTTATTTTATTACAAATTTAACAAATCTTCGAGTAAATATTTAAAATTCAGGGCAACGAAATGATAAAGTTAGGAAATTACGTAAAGAGAAAAATGTTTCATGCACTTTTACCTAATAAAATCACGGAAGCTATGACGACTGGACATATAGCACTGATAAGAGAAAAATGAATACGTGCAGAACTTTGTTGGGAAGAAAAATCTAAATACTCGTTTGGATGATCGCAGTATTTAGGAATGTTGTTAGACTGGAGAGGGCGGTGGGTCACTATGCTATAAGTGTGAAGGATTTTTTCCGATGATCTAATCCTTCCAGCCGCACTATGGCCCTGGGGTTGACTCAGATTCTACCAGAAGTGATTATCAGGATTTTTCTTGGGGGTAAAGAGCGGCCGGCGCGTAAGGCTAACAAACTTACCGCCATCTGTGAGCCGATTGTCTAGAGAAAATGTGGGAGCTTCGACGTCTCACAACCCTATGGGCCTCCATGTTCTCCACGGCCCAAATTCAACTTACCAGACTACTGAAATCGGATTAGAGTAAAAAAATATGGCAAAGCTGAAGGTAAAATGTGTCGCCCTATTTAACTAAGCAGCACACCATGAGACGGTATTGAGGGGGGGGGGCGTAGCCGTATAGCTCAATAGATTCTTAACTTCGACACTAGATAAATGTGAGTGGTCAGCTTCACGTCCCGGTTGCTTTACTGTCTGGGAAAGAGCCACTGGCACCCATCAGGTAGAAAGCCGGGTGGGCCAAGGGCTTGTTTAAACGATACGGAAAAGACTGCGGAACCAGGATAGCTCAGTCAGTATAGTGATTAGGCTACGGGCTGGATGACAACGGAATTGGGATTCGATTCCCGGCACAAGCACGGAATTTTTCCACCAGACAGTTTTTGGTTCTCCCAAACAGTACTCAGTAGGTTATCTCCGAAGTGGGGTGCAGGGGGTGTAAAGCGGATTAGTCACCTGTACCTAGTACACAGGATAAGAATGCATGGAAGAATAACTGGCTCCCCACACGGCTTCATGGCTTGGTGCGTAATTAAGCACAGTGGAAATTTTACCTTTTACAAAGAATAGTATTCCGAGGCTGTGCAGTGTGACAGCCACCGCGACAAAATGCTAACATTATTTCTGCCAAAAATGGGTATGAAATGTACACGACAGCACCGTATATCTAAGCAATCCACTAACTAAAGGGAGCAGAGTCGTTCTTCAGAAACTAACACCTGCTGACCTTGTCAAGAAATTGCCAGCATGGTACAAATATTATGTTTTTGGTCATTATCAATTGTATTGTCTTTATCTAAAAACACTGCCCTGTTTATTTTTCAAAACACAACGTTTCGGGGACTGGCTTCTGTCTCTGTTCTATCGATTAGGTCCAACTGAATAAGTTTTACCTGAAGATGGAGACAGAATCCAGTCTCCGAAAAGTTGTGTTTTGAAAAATAAACAGGAGAGCGTTTTTACTAGAGACATAACGACGGATAATGTCGGAAACATAATATTTGTACAAATGTACCATCGTCACAAACTTTTAGACCTTAATTTTCCAGCATTATAGAACCCAAAGTTTCATTGCAGTATTCATAAGAGGTCCCTGTCCTGAGCCAGCTAAATTCTAATCCACACCCTCGATGTCATTTATTTAAGATCAATTTGAATATCATCCTCACACATATGCTTAGATCTTACAACCGATCTAGTCCCTTTTGGATTTCCTAAAAGGTATTTGCACGCATTTATCTTTTCTCTCATTCGGGGTACATCCGTGCCAATCTCACCCTTTTTCATTTTATTATTATAATAATATAATGCAAGAAGTATACATTGCGAAGTTCCTCATTACGCAGTTTTCTCCACGCTCATGTTACCTCCTACCTCTTAGATTCAAATACAGCGCGGTCGCATTTTATGGGCGGGGTGCCTTTCAGAAGGCCTCGCATAATTCAAGACAAGTTTCGAAACACGTATATAATTCTTGCTTATTTCTTTGTGATTCGCATTATTTAAAAATTTGCGCATAAAGTGATATTTTTATTAATTTTCTATATATTGCACTATTTCAAATTCGCATTATCTGCGGCCGTACTGTGTTCTCCTGAACTAAGAATAGGACACATTTAGACAATTTTTTGTTGGACTGACGGTCCATTCTTGCTACGAGGGCCTAATGACATATATTTTTTCTTCAATTACTGTCGCAGATGTGGAGGGCTTGCTTCACAGTGATGGTTGTTGTGGCCATGTGCCTCTGTTCACTGGCCGACAGCCAATCTGACTTGTACCAGTTCCCGAGCAAAAGACCAGACAGCAAGAGGTACTGTGGCAGTAACCTTGTGAAAATACTGCAGTTTCTGTGTGATGGATATTACAATGCGAACATAAGCCCAAACAACTATGGCACCCGAGTTGGTAGGAAGAAGTCAATACCAGGTAATTTAAGTGTCATATTACACTTTTTATGCATGGTTCGTTTATTTCTGTATGGAATTAAGTGAAGAAAATTTGGAAGAATTCGATGTTAGCTTGAGAGTTCTGAAAGAATAGACCGTTACGTTTAGATACAATCCATAATACAGAGTGTCTCAGAAAGAATAGACTGTTACGTTTAGATACAATCCATAATACAGAGCGTCTCAGAAAGAATAGACCTTTACGTTTAGATACAATCCATAATGCAGAGTGTCTCAGAAAGAATAGACCGTTACGTTTAGATACAATCCATAATACAGAGTGTCTCAGAAAGAATAGACTGTTACGTTTAGATACAATCCATAATACAGAGCGTCTCAGAAAGAATAGACCTTTACGTTTAGATACAATCCATAATGCAGAGTGTCTCAGAAAGAATAGACCGTTACGTTTAGATACAATCCATAATACATAGTGTCTCAGAAAGAATAGACTGTTACGTTTAGATACAATCCATAATGCAGAGTGTCTCAGAAATAGACTTTTACGTTTAGATACAATCCATAATGCAGAGTGTCTCAGAAAGAATAGACCGTTACGTTTAGATACAATCCATAACACAGAGTGTCTCAGAAAGTTGTAAAATAATCGTTTTGGAGAAAGATATGTAATATATAGAGGGAATTAACTCGCCATTCGTTCAGTACCTTAAAGTTCCAAGATTCCTTTATACTGGTATCAGTGTTCGCGCATGCGTCATCCTCTTGGATCACTAATAGACGTGGTGATGGTTCAGCAGAACTTGAACTGCTTTTTGTGGCTAGCGGAGTTGAAATCCAAGTTCTGGTTAGTGCATGCAGGTTCAGCACCAAGCTACAAATCCATTAAGAAGCGGGATCGGTGTATTAGCTGATTTGTTTCTAAAATGTCGTTAACAAGTACAACAGCGGAAACCGACCAAGAGGACAAAGTTCCGTTACCACTAATCTGTAGAATCCTCCGATCTGTCTAGATATGTGAAATTATTTAATTCAATTGTTTATAGTAAGATATAGGAGTTCGTGATGATGGTATATTAATATTGATTTCTTGGACATTATCCATCGTTCTGTCTTGTATTTAAAACAAACATTCGAAGTCTGGATTTTGCTCCTCTCTTCAGGCAAAAAGTCTATTCAGTTGGGCCCAATCGATGTAAGTAGACCCTATCTCCGGACACCAATTGTTTCCAGATTATTTGAGACTCTCTAAACGTGAATAAGAACTCTGGGGTCACCAACATAGAAGAAAATAACATAAAATATCAGTTTGATTTTTTAAAAATCTATTACTATTTATGTTAAAAATATTTATAAAATATTTCTTCAATTAAATTGAACTTGTATCGGTTTATTGCTAATTAAGTATTAAAAATAATCCAACGTTTCTGATATAGTCAATTTTTCGGCGACCCCCAGAGAAAAGCTTCACGACGCCTTATGAGACTGAGGTTTTTTTTTCTTTAGTGGGGTGGGACTAAGTTTACTCGGTATTGCGACCACTTCTGGCCTATTGTACCAGCCCCAGATGATAGGTGAGAGTGATTGTGGAGCGATTTGTGGAATGAAGATTGGCAGGGGAAACCGAAGTACTCGGAGAAAACCTGCCCCAGAGCCACTTCGTCCACCACAAATCCCACATGACCCGACCCGGGCTCGAACCAGGATCGCCGCGGTGGAAAGCCAGTGACCAACCGCTTGAGCTATGGCGCTGCCATTAGAGACAGCGGCTTACTCTTTGAGATGAAGCTTAGTTAAAGGAAAGTACATCTCATTGATTATTCCAAGAAATTTCTGCCTTGAGTGTTCTATGATTTTTATGTTATGATCGTAAAGAACTAGAAAAACGAAATTAACGGCAGTGGGGATTCGTTGCGCTGACCAAGCGACACCCTCTATTCGCTAAAGTTGGCACCAACTTCGCCGACAAGCGGCGGTCGCTCGGTCGGTGTAGTTCGCTTGCGGACTCAAACCACGGAGTTTGCTATTTTGTATCTTAAGAAAACATGGTAACAAACACTGCCCTTACCAAGACAGTAATTACATTCATCCTCGAAAATCCGCTACTTTCGACTTGCCTAATTTTGTTGGTTGAGGCACTATGCTACAAGCCGGAAGGTCGCGGGTTCAAGTCCCGATGAGGTCATTGGATTTTTTTCAGTTGACCTAATCCTTCCAGCCGCACTATGGCCCTGGGGTCGACTCAGCCTCTAACAGAAATGAGTACCAGGAATTAATTAAATAATTGTCCTGGGGAGTAAAGCGCGGCCGGCGCGTAAGGCTGACAACCTTACCGCCATCCTTGAGCCGATTGTTTAGACAATGTGGGACCCTCAACGTCTCACAACCCTATGGGCCTTCACGGCCTGTTACAGGGATAGGTTTACTTTTTTTTATTACTTCGCATATCCGAATAAACAAATTATTGCCTACATGTAGCAAGTGACTCTCAAGAGGAAACTTATTAGTTCTAGCAGCTAGTGGCCTATTTGCATGTTTTCCTGCGTTCTGTTCCCGTATGTAGATAAAGTACTTAGACTGGAATGATATCCCATACAAAGGGTTTCGTAGGTTGTTTCAAGGTTTCACTTTTTCAGAATTAATTCAAAATAGGAACAGGCCAATGGGCCTAATCTGTCAGAGGGGAAGCAGGAAACGGATATGGCGAAAGTCCCATTTAAACTCCTGAACACTGAAGTGAGAAGAAATTTTAAGTGGGAAATTTAACTGACTTAACCACATTCAAAGTCGATGTTAAATACGGAAAACCCATAAATCAAGGAATACTCAACGGGGCGTTCAATTCCATACATAGATTTATTCAAGTGACAGAGAAGGAAGTTGATCGCTAATATTTCCTCTTTCTATACAAATAATGATTGTATTTTCAGAAGCGGATGATGACCTCTGGCTTCAACTTCAACCTGCGGAAGAAGAAATAAAGTTTCCTTTCCGTCCACGATCCAGTGCTTCAATTTTCTCGCACAGAATGTTCAAACGACATTCTGTAGGTGTCGCCTATGAGTGTTGTATCAACAAAGGTTGCACCGTAGACGAACTGAAGAGCTACTGTGGACGTTAACTATGAAAAATAAAGAATAATTCTAATTCATGTGTCTGCTTGCAAATATACAGTTGTGTCACGGGCTTTTGGGCATGGATATTTAAGAATAAAAATTTATTACACTAAAACATCTATCCTTTATAACCAATTGAGTATAGCAAACCTCATCCAACGACGAGAATATGTCACTTGAAAGGTGTGCACTTTCAGTGAAGACGCGTTGGAAGAACTTCGTGGTACTGAGAGTTCAGCTAAATATTTACGCTCTTACGTATGCTGAATAAAACAAACCACCTTGGTAATACAAATATATATACATATACATATACATAGAAAAGATTAACTGTATTTTATTTGGTACCTTTCGTAATACTATTACGGCATGTCCAACAGACCACTTATAATTGACTTTTCCACTTACGGCAAAAAACAAATCGAATCCGCTTGGGAAAAATCCCGCGTTAAATGAGTTTGCTGTAACAACTTCATTTATTCAAATATGTTTTCATCAACCCAGGTTATACTCGTGTACAGTCGAATGGGATACTCAGCTAACTAATTTTCTTCCGTTACCATTTCGGCCGGGAATTTAAATTCGGTTTTCCAGTCCACTGTCGGAAGGAGAATGAGGTGGACAGGGCATGTAGCATGAATGGGGGAGAAGATTAATGTGTATAGGATACTGATGGGAAAGCCAGAAGGAGAGAGACCACTGGGAAGACCAAGATGGATGGATGGATAGATAGATAGGATGGCTTCAGAGAAGCCAGAATTCTTGCCGTAACTGTAGAGAACAGCATTTTAAAACCTGCAGAAGGAAACCCGGACGATAAACAGCGGAAGTTGCAGTAGGCGTGCGTTCTTAGCCGGGAGATTGCACTACAGTCTTCTGGAGAACCTGGAATAATTCATCGTTTCTCCCCCTACCAGCAATCATCAACCCCATTTCTCTTCCATAAATTATTATGAAAAATGAACTAAAAGAGAAAGATTATATATCAGTAGTGATTACAGGGGAGCGACTCTCTAGTTCAGCCGTGTTAAGCATGCGGTCCCCATAGTCACAAAGTGCGGCCCCTCGACTTTACAGCTAATGGATATTAAAATTTTAGTAGAAATATCTTTTGTAAAGACAATTTTCCAACAGACCAGAAGACAAGAAGTCTCACGGTGACATAAATTAGCAGGCTGCAGGAAATTCAATGTTTTGCTATTTCTAACATAATTTCTTGTGTAATCTCTCTTGTTACATATTGAAAAGCTGTTTGATACTTGTCAAAAATGGCATTCTATTGCTTTTTAAAACTGTAAGATATGTGACTTTAGGTAATTATATTGAAATTCGTCCTAAATAATAAATAGAATTAAATTTCCTTGTATCAAACTCTAATGTATATTTCTATTTTCAAGTGCGGCCCTGGACTATTATTTAGAGGGCTGAGGTGGCCCTCTATACAAGTTGAGTTTGACATGCCTGCTCTAGTTCGCCCTCTATACTACAGTATCAAAAAAAAATACATTGAACAGGCAGGAGGCTTATGTACTAATCGTAAAATCTGAAGCTGGAACATTGTGAAACCTGACCTTTCTTATTCAAGTAACCTAATCATTGCCGAAAGGAAGGGAAGGGAAGGGTAACGTGCCCCAGTTCAAGAGAAACAGGGATATAGCATCGAACAAGCGTATATTGATAGATAATGCTAAGATGTGGTCATGAACCATATGGGAATTCGACACCAGGACACTTGGCAATTTGGTGCAAGCCATACCTGTTCTGACTTATATTATGGAGGTGTCTGATTTGAATCTTGGCCGAAACCCCAACTATCCTGATATATTTCGTGGATTTTCTCAGTTCTACCAGCAAATTCCGGGACTGTACCTCCAACAGATCATCATGGCTTCCTTCCCAATCCTCACATCAGTCACCAATCATCCTGCCGTTCGACTCTATATTGTAAGGTACTGGCAGCGTCGTTAAATAAAACATAAATAAAATATAGTACCAGAACAGGCTGAGTAAAACCACCAAATTGTAAGGATTGGCCGGATACTAGTAGGCATATGTTCCAAACTGAATAATGATTTAGTGGTATAAATTTCGTCCCTCAATCGTTGCATCGCAAAGAACGGTAGTTCAGTCTAGCCCAGTCGTTCCAAAACTTGTTCAGATCGCCGAGCACCTGGATGTCATGTCGCTGTGCGGAACACGTTAACATTCTGATTTTTAATGTCCCCATTCCACCCAGGCAGAGGATAAGATGTCACACTGTATCATGTTTGCGCCTCCCAAAAAATAGTAATATCAATACTAATAATTCTCCCCAAAGATGTCTCCACCTTCTCGTGGTGGTGGGGCTTGCGTGACTCTGTGACCTGGAGAGCTATTCCGGCGGTAGTTTAGCTACCGGTAGGGTCACCTATGCCAAAAAGGTCAAAGGGTACAGTCCAGACTAAGATAGATACCCTGGTCTTCCAGGTCGGGAGTTGGGTATGAGGCTAACAACCTCATCCTGTAAAAAGAATTTTGTTCAGAAACCTAACAACCAGCCTCAGGTCATCATGCGTGGATCCATTCCTATGGCAATACGCATTGGTTGTGGAGACTGGTTGTAGAGGAGGTCAAGGCTTACCCAGGGCTGTAACGCCGAGTGGTAGGTACCTGTAGGTAGGTAGGTAATACTAATAATTCAACTTTTTTTTAATTCAGTTCCTTATTTATTTATGTACATATTCAACAACCAAGAGGCAATTACAAAGTAAGCACGAGCAAAACAGACACAAAAAAACAAAAACGACAACGTGTATTATTTACATAACAACCATTCATTTGATTCAATCATGCCAACCATAGTGGGAGGAGAAGACATGCATTTTTTTCCCCACTGGCTCTGCAGCCCCCTTGGGCCCTGGCTTCTGATTTTCAGTTTCATGATCATTTTACAGACGGTAGGACTCCTTGAACGAGTGATCAGCTCGTCGTAAGGCCTGTACCTAAATACACGACAACACAAACACAGAATAAACACATACACACACCAGACATCTATGTCTTAAGTGGAATTCGAACTCACGATCCCAGCGTCCGAGCGAGCGAAGACAGTACATGCCTTAGACCGCTCGGCTATCGTGACCGGCAGTGTATAAGAATAATATATAAGAATTCAGTTCGTACCTCACAGGAAACAGATCCGAACCCACGAGCCCGGCTTCAGAGCGAGCGAAGACAGTACATGCCTTAGACCGCATGACTGAGAACACTAATCTCTGTGCGATATGATTTGTAAAATGTAACCACGAATTGTGTGTTAAAGTGTCCAACAAATCCGGTTACCAATCCAAACCCCATCTATAGTCGCACTTATCACGTGACAATATACTTTAACCTCAAAGTCATACTGTAACGTCTAAAGATAGGAAAGGTAATGCATTTTGAAGAGGAAAGAAACTTCAAGGAAGCCGTCGTGGCCTATTTGAAGCAGCTACTCCAGCATGTACTTGGAGCGACTGAAGAAACCAACGATAAATCGCAGTCAGGCTAGACGGCAGTCCGGCGAATATTCGAACCGGCTAAAAACTGTTTGGGAAACTGAGAATTAGACATACTGAAAATGGACCGTATAGAACTGTTTTTTTTTTTCTGATGTGATCTCCGCTGAATTGACACAGGATGCAATTCTGAAGCCGGCCCTTCGTATTTCAGTGATGAAATCTCGTGGTTATGTAACAAATGTTCAGTTTCCCTTTCCTCTATTAGTCTACTTATGTAGCTCAGATTCCATTTGCATCACCCCTTCTCTCTCTCACTCTCACAGGCTATGACACTTTATACAACTCTCGGCACGCGGGCCACATGCAGCCTTCCATTTGGTCTTTGTGTGACACATTGCCCAGAATTTGTATAAACTCTATCGTCCTATTTGCAAAGCGGTGACGAATCTTGTCGAAAAAAATTACTTATGGCATCCCCCCCCCCCTTGGCACTACAGCCCCAGTGGGCCTAGACGTACCTCCATGAACTTCCGTTCACTAAGGTTTTTCTAGATCTTACACATACGGTAGGACTCCTTGGGCGGGTGATCAGCTCGTCGCAAGGTCTCTACCTGTAGACAAACACAGAAAAAAAAGCACACAAACATCTATGCCCTGAGTGGGATTCGAACCCACGATCCCGGCTTCCCAGCGAGCGAAGACAGTGCATGCCTTAGACCGCTCGACTTATGCCACTATTAATATTTAATATTCCAATATATTGAATTTAAGAATTTTTTTTTAACTTTATGGATCCAATTTGTATTCGTACCCTTATGCTTTATAGATAATTGATAATTGTAATGCAAATATTTGCATCCGTACACTGTGAAATATATATATTGTGGCGTGCCTCGAGAAAGCTAGAATGGGTTACGAGATCAGGGTTCATTTCCTAGGCAACGACCAACGTTCCCGCGACAACGCCTAAGGACTCAGAACACATGCATTGCTACTCAGCAGGTAGCAATATCCAAGCAACGAGTTGTTTGAAGCTTTTGCACAGCAGCGGGCCAGGATGGAAGTGACTTCAGATGAGACACGGGGAAACTGGCGTCACTTCATCGAGCCCAACCATCGCGCTGAGAATGTACTAACAGTGAAGCAGTTACTAAATACGGTATATAATTTCAATATTATATTCCCTATTAGGTTCTGTACACCGATATTCCGCAGAACGCTCTTTGTAAGTTTCGGCAGGAGGCACTGTGAATGAGTTTATGGAACCAAGGGGGCGGTAGCCCGAAAAAGTTCGGGAACCATTTCCTTAAGTGATTAAACCTTCTGACCTGTACCAAATCAGAGTTAACTTAAAAGTTATGAATGACATAGGCAGTTGGCAGGAATCCTACGATGGTGAATCAGGTTAACGCGACTCCTCTATTTACACAGAACAACACAAACGCATAAATATATTCATATCCCAGTGGGATTCGAAACCACAGTTCCTGTCTTCGAGCGAACAGAGATAATAACCGCCTTAGCTCGCGCGGACACTGTTATGAAGCCAAAATTTATCTGAAAGAAATATAAAACGCTCAAGGAGTCGTTTGCCAGCTGCTGCTCATGTCATATGATGCGTAAAAAAAATAAACTG